AGGGGTTTAAGGGTTTAGGGGTTTTACCCTACCTTAACCTTTAACCCTATAAAACCTTCCCTTTTAGGGGTTCCTTATTATGATTTCTTTATATATAAGTCCTTAACGCGGCAGGTTCTTCGGGGTCCAGGTAGACCCTAAACACTAAACCCTATTAAGGTTTGGGGTGTTAAGGGCTTGGGGTTTAAGGGTTGCCCTAAACCCTACACCCTAAACCCTAAGCCGTGACGTGGGAGTCTGGGCTGATGGGAATGTGGCGGTTCGAGGATGTTTAGGGTTTAGGATTTAGGGTTTTGGGGTTTAGGATTTTAGGATTTAGGGTTTTAGGGTTTAGGGTTTAGGGTTTAGGTTTTGGGGTTTAGGGTTTTTGGGTTTTAGGGTTTAGGGTTTTAGGGGGGGTTCAATGTTTGCCATTTCACAGCTGGTGGCTGACCCTTCCAGTATGAGCCATAAGTCTTGTCAGCGCCGAATCATGGATCCTTGTGTATTACGAGGAGGAGGAGCAGCAAGAGGACGGAGGCTCTGAGGCCGACTCTGAGAAGACCCTTGAGGATGAGTCCCTCCGTGAGAAGGTGGAACGCCTCGGGGATACCTGGTTTCAGCAGGCCTCAATCCAAAGTGTGAGGACTGAGAATGCGAAAAGGGACCAGAATGAGCACGACCTGAGGCACCTCTACATGTTGGCCCAAAGCAGCTTCGCGAAGTTCGAAGACCTCAGAACAAGAGTCAGTAAGGAGGTCACCAAGAGAAGCGGTGGGCTTCCGTTCTTGTGGACTGTACTTTCCCGGGCCCAAAAAACTTTCTTAAGTTGGGTCTCTTCAATTATGGTGGTTTAGAACCGGGAACGTCTTACTCATGCTCCTGTTAGTGTTGCTCGGTTTGGGCTAGGGGCAATGCATAATTGTTGCTGAGTTGCCCATACCTTTCGTTCTGGCAAAAAACAGGTGTCTTAGTGCCAAAGTGTTCGGTATGTGGGCAGTTCTCTAGAATAGTGTCCCCTTTAGCTCCCCATAACAGCACGGCACCCTCATAAAAAGGACCCGAAAAGGGACCCTAAATTAGAGAACTACCCATGTGTCCATCCTATATAGTCTAGAGACGGATGTTGTTTATGTTCCGGGTACTGCGCTGAAGAGGATCTCACTTGAACGTATTATCAGAGGCTTTAGAGGGGCAGCCTAGCAATAGCTTCTGGCATCCCAAAAGAAGCAGCAGCCCGGAAACTCTCGCCGTAATTCCCGAAGGGTCTCATGTTTGTCACCGACATTTGTTTGTCAGTCCTTCTTCCATATAGTCTAACATAGTCGTCACCATCCATCGATGGTATTGATTCTCGCTGCTGCTTGAGCTTTCACAGCTGCAGCTGTAAGTAGGGATATAGTTGTGCATCTCGATTCGGGTTTCAAGTGTAAGTAGTGAACGTGACCCAGACCCTTCGTAAATAAACCTGCGCCTTCACCTTAAACCCTAAACCGTGCTTACAACCCCAGACACGGTGGCCATGGTCCAACCCCGCCACGCGGGGTTAAAACGGGTTTTGGTTCGTTTCATGCATGTATCAGGGCTCATACGGTTCAGGGATCACGGGCCAAGGCCCGGCCTACATTGACCATGTACTCAGACATACACTCAGACCCGCACGGAGCGGGAGAGAGTGAGAGAGACAGACAGACAAACTGAAGCAAAAAACAGGTTAGGGGACTGTAGATGAGGCTAGGTCCCTAAGCCGTCCGTAAGCCTTAAACCCTAAACCCTAAATCCGAACCCGAAGGGCCCAATGTCAAGCGCACCATGCGTAGAATGCCGCGAGGTAGTGGTGACATTTTGGTCGTCAGGGCGTCGGACGAGGCGTCCCCTTTTAAGTGCTCAAAACTATGGGAATTTGGTATATTCCTTATTATGGGTAGTGCAGGATTGCTATCATCAGCCGTAGCGCCCTTTAAAAGGAGCGCCCCATAGTAGGCCAAGGCGCCAGATTTTGGAGGGTTGTCCAAGGGGGCTTAGCGCTCGGGCGTCGATTTTTCTATGCAGGGCTTCGGCTTTAGGTGCGCTGGAACTGCGAGCCCAACATAGGTGTTGGGTTTTGGGTTTAGGGCTTTGAGTGTAGAGTTTAGGGTATAGGGCTTTCGGTTTGGGGGTGGCGGGTTTAGGGTTTAGGGTTTGCTTGAGAGCTGGGGGTTTAGAGGCTAGGATATCGGGCTTGAGGATTCGGCCCGAAGCTCAACACGCTGAAACCCTAAAGCCTTGCTGTGTGGGATTTATTGGGGGGCCGAAATCTGCGGCGCAGGCGACCGTCGGCACAGCCAAAACTTTCATGCTTCCTGGCAGGTTTAAAATAGGTGGTTGTATATCCCCACTCGGAGCACGAGGCCTATACCTTAAACCCTAAGCCTAAACCCTAAACCCTAAACCCTAAAACATCAAACCATTACCTTAAAGCCTACCTACAACAGCCAAACACCACTTTAAAGTGGTGTCTAAGACAAGAACCGTGGTTTTAGCAGTATCTTGTTAATTTCCTAGTTATTATACTAAAAACCCGGTTCTTCTTGAAAACCTTACTTTTGAAGGTATTTTAGTACTTAAGATGTATCGGGATGGGACTCTTCAGGGTCTTGACACAGTTCATGTCGGCGCTTGAGAGTGCCGCTCTGTGCAGGCCTGCTTCAGATGGCCCGAATGTTTGTTTTAATTAGCTTTAAAGCTGTACCGGATCGAGTGGCATTGCCCCACTCCTGTGTCGGGCACTCAGGGAGTGCCATGCATTGCTTGGATTCGCAGGTCGTGCGCAACTCTTGTGCATGCGTGCATGTGAGCATACCACGGACAGCCCATTTCAGGCTTAAATTTCCAGGATTTTGTTTAGCGCCGGGGCTCCTTTGCAGATGTCGGCGGAGGTTAAGTTCGATGCTTCTGGTTTGGGGCAGGAGTGGGACGTTGTGGAGGTTCTACGTGAGCGGATGCGGGGCGGACAATGTTTGCTCCTGGGGTCCCTGCATGAGTTTACGGTGCAGCGAGCCTGCAAGAACATCGATGTCCTGGCCCCTGTTCTGGTAAGGTGTGCTGCTGCAAACCTTAAGACTCCGGAAGTGGAGTGCCTGAGAACGGAAATTCAGAGCTTCTATCAGATGCATCAGCGTGCAGAGTCGGAGGAAACGATAGACGACTTAGCATGGGAAGTGCGGAAGCTGTTGTCTTTCGTGAAAAGGAAGACTCAACGAAAGGAAGTGTCAACAGCTCCCGGCTTCAACTTAGCAGCTATATTTCGATTGATACCTATACAAAATCTAGCATGCAAGCTTTAAAGGTGCAAAACATAACACTGCTGATCCCAGATTGAAGACTTCCAAGAGATGTGCCTGATTCTGAATCCCCACCTTCAGGACTGCGGGGCTGCCATGGTCACTCAAATAGTCTTTTTCGGCTGTGCGTCCGCATTGCAGCTCACATCGTGCATCGCAGCTGAATCCGAGTTTATGTAATGTTGGATTGGTAAACTTCGTTGAGCGATGACCTGCAAAGATTCGATATACTAGGCATCCTAGTTGATTGCAACCCTAAACCCTCTAAACCCTAAAACCCTAAATGATGGCTATATAAGCGACCATAGCCCTTCTCAACGCCAGGACGTCGTCGATGCCATCCGAAGACGCTTCGAGGATCCGCCTCAGGATTGGCAGGGAAAGTTTCTCTACGAAGCATTGGGGTTTGCGAGGTGAGCTTGAGGAGTTCGTTGTTGCTAGTACGTACGAATACTGTTTTCCCTATGTAGGGCAATTCTAGTATGACCTATATAGAATCTAGCTAAGTCTATTCAACCATGCAATACATAACCCCGTCTAGGATTGCAAAATTCCCTATACATATTAAATATACGTTATATCAACCTATAGCCTGCATAAGTCGATCGGTTAAAACCCCATTGTGAGGAGGACGAGGACGAGGATGACGATCCTGCTCCCGTGGCAGACAGCGCGGCTCCTTCTGCGACCCCTGCATCGATAACCTCGAGCGCAACCGCGAGCCCGACACCAAGCCCGAACCCCGCTGACTACTCAATCCCAGTGCTAGCAAGCACGCCTGCAGTGCACGAAGCCCGGGCTACATCAACAGCGGTGCCAACCGAAGCAACATCACCATCTGCAAGCCCCCCTGTAAGTGTGTCTTCGGGTATGCCAACAGCGGTGCCAGCCGAAGCAACAGTGCCTGCAAGCCCTGTCGTAAGTGTGCCTTCGGATGGTACACCAACAGCAGTGCCAACCGGAGCAACATCACCATCTGCAAGCCCTCCTGCACTTATGCATCCTTCCCCGATCGTGGCCGTAGCAACAGAAGCAGTAAGTCCCATTACGACTCCGCCCCCCCGACCCAACAGGATCTCTCGAGTCTTGGTGAGCTTTGAGATGATTAAACTAATCATTTGGATTTTCGTTTATACAAATATGGACACTTAAATGTCTATACAGCGTGGTTGCCTAGATTTACTTACAGATCTGCATACCATGCATGTATGCATGCATATACACACGTGTTTGATAATGATATCCATGAGCACATGTAGAGATCGATACATCTATACATATTTGTTGTCGTATTCGACTACCGGCAAAAGTAAACATGTGATTCCCCTGGATCACTTAAGGATTGGACGAGCTGACGCCTGAGCAGAAGTGCCTCAAGCTGGAAACGCAAAAGAAACTTTTGCTTGCTCAGCTGCAACTTCAAAGGCTACTAGCCCGAATATTTATTCCGAAGATATCTGGGTTTGCTGGTGCTTGCGCAACAATCGATCCACAGACATCTGCTACCGTTGTGGAGCATTTGTTCGTTGTACTTGAACGGAAGTCGTCAGATTGAATTAGGGATATCTGCCATCATTAAGTATAAATTAAACTCCTGGTCAGCCTAGGCTTCGTGCGGAGAAGAAGAAGGCCAGCATCGCTCGCGAGAAGGAGACCTTCGTCGAGCACAGGCCCGTGCCGGAGAGGATCAGTGCTTCGGCTCTTTTGGAAAACGACCATGGGATACAAAGTCTGATTTGAGTTTGGGTTCAACGGTTTCATCTCCATTCGGTTCGATATCTTGTAGGACACTTGGCAGCGCAAACTCTAGTGTCGATCGATCAATTAAGTTTAATCTGAGGCTTCGGGGGAGATTCGGACGACACCGTGCCTACCAACATCCTCGATTGCCCTACCCCTGCCCACGTTGGATCTACCGAAAGTCTTGCAAGCTTCGTGGACCCCGCCGCTAGCCCTACTGCTGCTGCTGATCTTCGTGAGAAGTACCAGCACCCAGAACGTGGTGCCGGCCCTTCGACTTTGCCCCTCATGGGCACTGTTCCCGAGCCACCCATCCCATCGGCTGATGAGCCTGCAGAAGCACCAGCTCCTTCGGAGCCTTCGCCGGCTGAGGCCGGGCATTTCTTGACCTGGCGGTTCTTATGACATATATACATACATACATATATATATATACGCATGTATGTATATATATATATGTATATTTTAATATGTATCTATTTCTGTATTTGTTATATTATACTTGCATGCTCTGCATGTATCAAAGTCAGAGTGTTTACACGTACATGTGGGATCGCGGGCAACCCCACGGCAGCATTGAAACCAATAGCCGACATAAACTTAATATCCTGCATGAATCCCTTCTGTGACACAAGTTTACCTGTGCATGCACTATGACTTAAGCCGTGTTCACTTACATGACTTACATGCATGCATATAACTCATAGACACCTTAATGTGTGAACTGATATTGACTTGGATCCTGCATGTAGTATGTGTGTGTACGTGCATGTGTGCATGTACATATATATATATATACACATTCATATTATATTTTTCTGCTGTGTAACTTTATAGAATTTGAAGTAATTGTTTGGCCGTCCAGCTATAGGCGTGAACTCGGAGGGTTTCCGTCGATACTACATACACATCAGTATGTGCATAGACAGCCACATGGTCATGCATAGACCAACTATTTTAACTAAACCAGAGGGTCACAGATTTTGTCATACGTAATTGCACAAATAGAGTAGAGTATTATCTGCCATGGATCTATCTAAAGATAACGACTTTACTAACCTTAGCATTATAGTTGGTCATACCCACAATTACATTGGAGTATAATTATTTCATATTGTCTTTTTTCGCTCCAGGATATCCTTCTTCGTCGTGACCAACTTGGCCTTCGCTCGGAGAAGAAGAATGTGAACCGAGAGGCAAAGGCCAACGGAAAGAAGCGGCTTTTGAGGGCCAAGTCCGGGCTGAAGCAGAAGACTAAACAGCCTCGTGGTGCGAGCATCAAAGTGTGGCCGGCCAATCGTCGGGATGAGTGGGATGAAGGAATGACGGGCCGCTGGTACACGGACGAGTGGGGAAACGAATGGTGGGATGAGGAGGGAGAGCCCAGCTACTACTGGGACGACAGTGGTTGCTATGAGTATGCGGGGGAGTGGGCCGCGAATGACGACGGCCTCGCTGAGCCTGCGCTGAGCCGCAGGAAGCGAGGGAAGCAGGCTGAGACTGAGAGGGCCTCCTCAAGCAAAGGCCCCGAAAAGCCGAAGCCGAAGGCCAAAGTTGCGGCCAAAGCAAAATCCAAGGCCAAGGCCAAAGCTAAGGGAAAGCCTTCGGCAAAGGCCCCGGCTGCGGATCGTGACGAGGAGCGTGCAGAAGATGATGGTGAAAAGCCGACTCGCAAGAAGTCGAAGGTGGCCAAGAATGCAGCTGGCGCCACAGTCGCCACAGCAGAGTCAGCAGAGAAGAAGCCGCAGGTCCGAAAGGACCATGCGGATGTTGAGCCCCTGCGGGAATGGGTCAGCCGAATCGATCTTGATGCGGAGGCCTCGACTTTCAAGACCCAGGTGAGAGCCTTCCTGCCCACTTTGAAAGGCGGCACCCGTCTGAATATCTACTGGACCAGGTTCTCCTGTGGTGTCACGTTGTACTACAAGGAGGCCGACGGCAGCAGTGCTAAGACGGATGTGGGTTTCTTCAAGTTCTCGAAGTGCAACGCGGGGCTCTGCTATGCAGTGGCCTGTGCTCGATTCATGGCAGACGAGCTGTAATTCAGCACATTCACTTTGTCATTCCGTGTTTCAACCCTGTATACAGTTTAATTAAACTTACATTACGTGCAATCCTAAATGTTGCAATCTATAACATTATAACACTATATGTTCTATATGTATATAGGTTACTGTGATTCGTAAACTTGTATGTAAGCATGCATGCATGTGTATACATATTATACGTACATATATATATATACACGTGCACACACAATAAGACTCCGTCAGTCTGCTATAGAACTTAATATAATATAGCTATATATATATATATATATAGAGATATACATTTATATATTTTCCACATACCGTACACATAGAATGTTCGATCCTGAATGGAGGATATGTCACAAGCTACTGCATTTAAGGCAACCCAGCTGCCCCGAAACCAAAACCCGATGCTTCCCAATCGGTGCTAGCCTCTGCGATCCCAGGCTGAGCAGCTGGATGATTTGGCCATCACTGACCCCGAGGATGAGCTGATCCTGGAAATCAAGGATAAGTGGAAGTGCGCAGGTGCTTCCGCATGGGCTGAGTTTAACGATGATGCCTAGGGTTTTGGGTCAGCTGAAAGCTGATCCGAGCAACCGTGCTTAGGGCTGTGGCTGGCTAGGTGCACGTACTTTCCATCCGTGGTGCTTTTGTGCGTGGGAGCAGGGCGGGTGTCATTCCCAGGAACCTTGTGTAGCCCACGTGCGGTTCAAAGCACCGGATATAGTAGCATGTGTGCATCAGCCCGTGCTTGAAGCACAGGTGCCAGGGTTGCGCACACACCAGCTTCAAGGAATCCTTCAGTTTTTTAGTAGATGCAAGTTTTCTCATCACAGGGTTGCAAAGCTTGTGCAGTTCAAGATTTGGTCTGGTTGGAATAGTACCCTCTGGGAAACTTCAGTGGCTGGTGTGCTAGCTAGGTCTGACATTCATGTCTCAACTGATCTGCTGGGGTAGATGACATTGCATATGGAGCAAAACTCGCGGTGCAATTCACTGATTACTCTAGTGATGCTGAGTGTGGGTGTTGAGTGCTTTTGCAGAATCTTCGTAATGCCTCCCCAGACTTAAATCGATTCCACTGTCCAAGGTCCCCTCATGTGATGGCTCGCCGCAGGGGCCGCAAGCAGACGCATGCTCGTCGTTCCAACAGATTCAAGAGGTCCAAGCGTAATGCGGGCATGTGTTGATGTGCTGCTGTGCTTGCTGTCCCACTTGTTCGAGACTGGCTTTGTCAGCATACCACCGTCCCAACCGATACCATTGTAAAAGCAGGGGCTCTGCAGTCTCGACATGCAACTTATGTTCATTTTGGAGCACAGGATGTAGAGTCTTATCTTCCAGAACTATCCGACAAGGTTTCCACTTCAGGTCCGATCCAGGGATTGTTTTTGGGGACAGTTGTCTTTTATTTGCTTGGCTTGAGAATCACACCGGAAAAGCGATGATACCTGTCGATTTGCTGGTCTACCGCTTGCAGAAGCTGGGTGCTCCGAAGGTGGCTCGTCGGGGGATCGAGAGATCATACCATCATGCAGCATACCAACATAAAGCAAAGCGCAAAACAAAGGACGCAGACGCACACACACACACACATGCTGGCAAGTTCATTTTCTACATAGCTGCATGTGCGATACATGCATACACATATGCCTAAATTAGGCGACCATAACCACATGCATTCTAGCTTCTCGGTATGTTAGATCGAAGTGCCATCACACACAAACACAAACACACACACACACACACACACGCACACACACACACACACTTTGCTGGGAAGCTTTGACAATAGCAGGCCACCTAGGTCACAGAGGCACCCAAAAGTAAGGTTGAGGCAGTCCTACCCGAGATTACAACATATAGGAAAGCTTCTTACTCGCTTTGAAGCTTCAGGGTTTCTTTGGGGTCGAGGGTTCCGGCTTCAGATGCGCAAGCCTGCAAAGCTGCCCAACCAATTCTAGCCCGAAGAACTCTGTGGCCTACCGTAATAATGTGAAGCCCTGAGTCAATCAACCCCGGAATCACCAGGTCCCCAACGCCCTTCAATCCAAAAACCCTGAACCCTACAATACATGTACATTGTTATGATAATATATTATACAAGCCGCAACACCCCAAACCCTGTAATTCACAATACTCCTCCTGACTTGTAACGAAAAGCCTCCAGCACCCCTGTCTCCATAAACCGCGGGGCAAACCCTGAAGCCCCGGCCCTTTGCGGCTTTACTATAGATGTTGTAGGGTATGGGCGGGCTCCTGGTTGAGGATTCGGGCTCGGGCTCGGGTCTTATGGGTGTCATATGTTTGTATACATACATGCATGTATATGTATATACTTTCCTATATATGCATAATACATATATATATATATTTCGGAACCTATGTGTGTATATATATATATACACATGCATACATATATACAAACGTGCAGACATAGATGCATACATCATACACATAGAAAGAGGTGCATGTATGTGTGTGTGTGTATATATATATAATATGCACACCATCAGGCATACGTATGATATGTGGTAATATGCTGGCTAGCCTACTTGAACGGGCTATAGAAATATCCTGAAAATCAACCCAACGAGGCATTTGTTCTCATTGTCCTGATGACCATCTGGACGGAAGGTCTCTACGACCTGGGCGAGGCCGGCAGCTAGGGTCATTGATCGTTCTGGTTTCGTAGGACTCGTTGCCATTGCTTCGGGATGCAGGAGTACGACTGGCTCGAGTTTTTCGCGGGCCATGCTAA